TGCCTGAATTCATGTGAGCCGATAAGGATATGTAGCCATTTAATCAGACCTATCGTAGTGAAACTGAAGCACTACAGAGACCAAGTCACGTCGGCTTATCTACTTTGACTTACCCATACGGCAAGGTAGGATATAAGTTAGAAAATTATATTCTGGGTAAAATGTTGGAGTAGATGTTAAGAGATTTTAATGCCAAATTTAAGGGTGCAGTGAGAGGCAAGAACCGCATTGTCAACCACGCAGATGAAATAAACTCTGCATTCGTATACATGCAGTGTCCTTACTGTTTTTATGGACGGAGTCAGTCAGTCAGTCAGTCACCAACTGACCAAAGGCAGTGACTCTAATTCAGGTATAACTTTATATATATTGGAATTGCAATATCGTAAGAGGCAAAATGTCTACCTGTAAGGTGCAACGAATTTGATCAACTTGCCAAAAGTCCGGGGCAGGCATAATGCCGCAGCAACTTCACTTCTCTTCAGGATAATGAGTAACGTATGACCGCAAAGCATGGGCGCATGCTTGCGCTTATGATTCCCGGGTGGTGACGGACACATCGGCGTAGAATTTGCTTTGGTCCCATTTGGGAATGAGGTATCTTTAATTGTACTGCGTAGCCATGGAGTACCGAGCGTAATAGCAGACCCACCGTAAGGGAAAAGGCTGCTAGTATTGAAATGCGTGTTATGCGCTCTCCCACAAATATTTTACTCAAACGACTTACGATGAAAGAAATGCAAAGCTTTTAAAATTCTGCATTTGTTGAAAATGTAAACTTGCCCCTTTTGTGTGAATCCATAATCCTTGATATACTTCTGGCAGAGAAGTAGCGACGGCGATTGTACTAATACTTCCTTTTTCTCCTTTTAAACAATGTGCCTTTGGGCAGATGGAATATGTGGATTGTGGGGCGTTAAAATATGAGGGTGAAAATAATGTGGTGATTTGAGCCGTGCTGAACACAAAGGGAGACCATGCTGTCAAAGTTAATAAAAGAGATTAAAGTGAATGAGCAGTAGAGTACGGAGACATATGTTTTGTTAATTGGTGAGTGATGCACCTCACAAATCAGTCATTTCACCTTTTATTTACGGGTCTTGCAATTCTAATATGTGTAAAGTTTCACCTGAAGTAGAGTCACCGCCTTCGGGCAGTTGGCGACCGACGTGGAATACGTCAAAAAATACAGCGACCACACTACAGTT